CCCCCCCCCCCCAAACCATTGGTTGAGTCTAGTTTCAAATATAGCACCTAAAACTCTGGTCTGACACCTCAAATCGGCATGTAGCTGTTGAATTAGGCACCTAAAATCTGAAGTGTTGCACATCCATAACACCTTTCAAAATCAGATGGTTTTGCACTGCTGAAAGTCAGGACAAAAATATGCAATTAAAAGGCACTCAAGCTCAAAAACTCAATCAGTTCTTGCACAGCGATTTCAGCTTTTCACTTTTCAGTAGCCTCAAAGAGTATTATTTGTTCCTGCCTAATTAACTTTTTAGCTTGGATACATGCTAGCAGCATTCTGGAACGCAAAAGTCTCTAGGCAAACCAATTGAGCAAGTCTCCCTCAACCTCTGTCACTCATTAAAGAATTAGGTTCTTTACCCATGTTTTAAAAAGCCAAAAACAAAAAAAGTGTTGCAGTTAGATCCTGCCTATACATCAGAAACATTGGGGAACTTTTTCTCAGACTCCCGGATCAATAGATTTGAAGACAGGGCACTAGTTTCTTTGTAAAGCAACAACAAATGATTCACGTGTATTGTTTTCCTGACAAGACTGCATTTGTGATAGACTCAGATAGTACAGCAATGCAGCTTTCCCACACTGCAGCATTTGGAAGAGTCAAACTGTTTTGTATGAGAGAGGTCAGAGGTAACTGTTTTCACCCTGCTTGGATGGATAGTCACATCCACATTCATGGTTAGTTTGCAAACTTTTTAGACTCTCCATCATTCATATGTATTATAAAAGTACTTTTGAAATATTCAAAAGAAAAAAAAATCTTTGCTTTAGCCTGGAAGGAACTGGAGGGGAAAAATAGATGCTGTAATTTGTGTTCCAATCATTGCCTTCCCTTTTCTTTTAAAGTAGTTGAGAGGGCCAGACTGTATTTTGGAGGGACATCCAAAATACAATGTAATGTGGGTTATTATTATTAGGAAAATATGTTGATAATTTGTCATAATGGGTCAGGCAAAGCTTTGCCTGTACATGGAAGTTTGAATTAAACAAAAGTATGCTGACCTGTCAATTGGATTAATGCTACTGATTAATTATACTACTTACAGTATTTACTCAATTCTAAGATTAGGTTCCCCCATTTAACATGGGAGGGGAGGGGGCAAACCCCCTCATTTTAGAATAGAGGATGAGGGGCTCCAGACCCTATTAGGGATCAGGGCCATAGCCACAGCTGCTGCCTGTCCCTGTCACCTCTACACTCCACCATCTCTCCCTATAGCCCCTTCTCCCTATCTTCCCCACCCCAAGGAGCCTCGGCTCCCCTACCTACCTCTTACCCAGCTCTACACCATCAGGGTCCATCCACGCTGCAGCCTGGGACACTGAGCATGGCTCCAACACATCCAGATAGCAGCAGCACACAGCTTGCATGGCCGCTACAGAGGCTGGGCAGGGGCTGTGCTCAGTGCCCCAGGTTAAAAATGGGGACAGAGCCTGTCAGCATGAAGCAAGAGTAAAGGGGGGGCAGGCACAAGCAGGGGGCAAGCTGCTTAATCTCCCCATACCACCCGTCTCCCACCACTGCAGTGGAGGAGTAGATAGTGGGGACAGATGAATTACAAGACGACCCCTCCCCAGTTAGAGTCTATTCACAGAAATTTATAACACATTTACTAGAATGTAATTACAGGGGGGTCATCTTAAATTCAGACTCTTAGATTAGAATAAAATAGTACTAAATGCTATTGATTACTGATGGCTATTAATACCTTTGGGGTAGGTTTGTTACTTTTCACAGTAATGGGACAAGAGTAAGGTGAACTGAGAGGAAAAGTTGAAGCCTGTGTTACAGCTAGAGCCAACTCTTACCATTAGAGGAGTGTCTCATTTAAATAATTACTAGAACCGAAAAGATATTGCATGGTAGCGTAGGCATGCTTGTTCAAGTATCAGTAGAGCCCAAGGACAGCTAGCTCACCCCATTTCTCAGGTAGGATTTGCAGCTTACACAGAGCTCCATGTTGCTGAACTGTCAATAACCCAGTTCCCCTGGAGTGCCTGAACATAGATATATCCTATTACTACCACTCCTGGAGTACACAAGAGGATTACCGACAGGGATATTTTTAGACCAGGTCTTTCTTACAGGTCACTTGGGAAGTTTGTTATCCATGATCAGATTAGCCCACAGATCAGATAGGTTTATTTTCCTCCAATATAAAACACTAAACTGGCCATGCAATTTGTTCTAATTGTTTATCCAGGTTTTGATAATAGGCTAGATCCTCAGCTGGTAGAAACTAAAGCATGGTAGCTCAGGGGCTCCAGCAGAGCTATACTGATTTACAAAAAAAAGTTGAGAATTTAGACCTATAGAACCGGAAAGGAGTTTCTAGTCTCACAACACCCAGCAAAAAATAAAGTCACACCACATCAGAAGGCCAACCAGTGCAGAAGTGTTTCAAGTAGGTAAAGCAGTCAATATTATTGGACTTTGTACATCTCAAAACTTAAAATTTTGAATGTTAATGGTCTTGTGTTTTTTTTCAGCTTACTGTAAAGCTAGTTGATTTTTTAAAAGTTAAACACCCCTTAGAAATATATTTTTACCAGCTTCAATTGGCAGTTAACCTAGTACTGCCATAGGGGTACAACATATGGTCTATAAAATTTATGGCACTGAGCCTTAAAAACAACCCAAACAAACAAACAGAATGCATTAATGCTTTAAAGTCATGAAGGACAATAAAGTAATACATTCCCTATAGTGTGTTGCATCTAACAATTAAAAAAAAGGCTGTCAATATGATGAAGTAAGCTTATGTGTCTCTGCCTTAGTCTTTAAAAGGTGCAACTCTACCCTGCCCTCTGCCAGACTTCAGACCAATATGGTTACTTACCGCTCTCGATTACAACTACAACCACCAACTGATAACCTTTATGTCCACTCTCCATCAGGCAGAACCAGCAATGTAACTACAGTGGGGCACCAGGATCCCCCTGCCAGGACAATGCAGCACCATACCTGGCTGTATAAAGTTGGGGGGACGTCGGGGAAGTATAATGCTGCTCCACCCCGCTCCCTAAAGAACCTTTGCCAAAGGAAACAGACCTGTTCCTAATATGCATGTATGGGAGGAGGGGGGAAGGGAGTAAAACGAGACACCAGGATCCACTATGACAGGCAAAGTCCAGCCATGGGAGACTCGAAACTGAATAGCAGCAGCACCTGTCTGAACAGGTAAGATTTCCCTTCGCTTATGCGGCTACCTATTCCCCTTCCCATTCCCACCTCCACGGTCAGCATACTCTAACTGCCTCCCTTTCCCCCCAATCCCAAGTGATCCATGAACTCACTAAGCCACAGGGCACAACAGTGATTTGTGCATATCACTTATTTTTCACAATAACTGGAAGACAGACAGACAGCAACTACATTTAGAAGACAGAAGCAGTGTAGCAGGAATAAAATTTAGAATTAAAAAAAAAAGAAAAAAAGTCACAGGATGTTGTTACAGGTTACCTCCATACCGTTTTAAGTCCATGGAGTTCTGCACAACATTAAAGTTAGAACAGTTTAAGAACAGGCACAGGTTAAGTATTAAATGCCATCTTTGACCTGCACAACTGACTTGCCACTAGAAGGCCTTGTGAGTAGGGGCAGGGACAGGATCCAAGACCCTATCCTTCCTTTGGGAGTGGAGCCCTGGAAGGTAAGTATGGCAAGAACATGGAGTCCCGTGGGAACACCTATCCCTGGGCTACACGCTCTTGCCACTTGGTGGTACCCAAGCATGGGGTCATCAGGGGTTAACCATGGGGACAGCATGGACCTTGGGGAAGCATCTTTCCCTGGTCTCCATGCTTGCACTAAGCAGCCCTTTCCCCCTCCAGGACACCCTTACAGCCCCACCAAATTCTCCTGGCTAAGGGAAGAGTTACCTAGACATGGGGCAAAGTTTTATCCCTCAGAGAGGGCCATGTGCCTGGCCCACAGCGGCAGGCCACGTCTCCTGGATTCCTTGGAGCTGGCAGTGTAGTGCCAGGTGAGCTGGGATCATACCTGCTGGGGGCAGGTGGGAATGTTGCCTTGGGGCTAGTACCACACCCTGTGCAATACAGCTTAGGCAGGTAGAAAAAGTTTGTCAGGGGTAGCCATACATCCTAGGGTGGTAGAAGATTGCAAATTGGTTGCTTCATCTCTGTGGAGCAGACCAACCAATACTCTAGCTTGAGCTAGGTAGAACAGCTCAAAAAATAACGCTAGCATGAAATGACATTAAATTTAAGCAGCTTAGCAGGTACTTAGTACAGTTTAGCACCTTTTAATGAATGGACCATCCCATTTTAAATGCCTTTAGAGTGGTTTAAGTGGTGACCTGTAAACACTACTACAGACTAAAAGTCAGTACATCTAAGTTTTTTTCCAGCTCCGTTGCCAATGTATTCCTCTGTTCAGCAGACGTAAAGAAGTGCTGAATCAGAACCTCAGACAATGAGCAGGTTACTCCTATTCAACTATTCAGGTAGGCTTCTAAAAATAAAAAATCAGCCAATCAATAAAATCAGACTACATGTGGATTTAGATGCACACACTGCCCAAAAATCAGACATTTGCAAATTCTAACACCTAGATACCCTCGAGTGTGAATACTCTTCTAGAGTCAAGTAAAAGCACACTTGTATAATGAACTGGAAGATCAACACTGAACACAACTAGTTTATACATGAAGAAAGTGAGGACAATTCTTATGCCGCACTAGTCTGTAGAGTTTCAGGGTTCATGACAAAGTTGGATCTTCTGATGAAAAGTACTTGAGAAGTATGAAAAAAATTTATTAAAAAATACTACTTAAAAGTTACTTACCAAAGACTCACTTGCACACTGGAACACATAGCAGACATACTGGCTTAGCCCAGGTTCAATAGATTCGCGACAAATGAAGCCAAAATGATCAACATGTTTTATACCCTGAAAAGTTTGAGACAGAAAATTAATGAATATGTGTTTAAAAACAAACAAACTTAAAAAGAGACCATGGTCACTGACTGAATTTCAGTACTTGCTAATAGTGATATCCAAGTTACCATCCTTTCCTCTTATTCTTCTAATGAGCAAAAGGTAGTTACCAAAAAAAAAATCAAGCATAACTTCTTTCTCCTGGTCTACAAGTCATAGGAGTCTTTACATCACCAAAAGATCAGCCAACTCAGCAGTGAATCAGGCCTGCATTTCCTTTCCTTTTGACAAACTATAGCAGCAAATCAACTAGGGCACCATGAGATTCTTCCAGGGGTACCAGAGTGCCCATCCTTTTGGTGGAAAGGTGAGTACTTGCTCCTCCTCTCACCAATTGCTTCAACACCCCACAGACAAGCAGCACCCATAGCTTCTCCATACTCCCCAGCAGATGTGGGGCTACAGAGCCCCACTTCAGCCTGGCTCTCCCTCCCCCTGCACCTCCACTATGATCCCTGGGAGGAGCTGCTGTCGCACATGGCTCTGGTTTCCAGCAGGCATGACAGTAGGGAGTCAAGCCTACCCTCAGGTACAAGCCAGGTGCAGGGAGGGAACAGAGTATGGAAAAAAACAGGGTGCAGTTAGGTGAGGTCCACCGTCTTCCACTACCCTCACCTGGCACCAGCTAGATTCTAGCTCAGTGGCTCTAAGCCAAGGTTCCTCAATTCCAAAAAAAACCCAAAACAAAACAAAACACCACCTACTTATGTAAGGTGCCTTGAGGCTAAAAAAGTTTAGCTTTGCTTTTGAAAAGCAGAATGAAAAGAATTTTTTTTCAGCTTTATGACTGCACAGAACAATATTCTGCAAGTCTTTTGTCAATATTTGTATAGTCTAAACGTAACTGTAGGGAAGTGCCTGAACAAAGAAAGTGTTCATTTACAGTAGGATTTACAACTCTGAAGTTTGGATGCAGCTCTGTAAATACCCATGTTATGATCTGGGATCCTGTCGTTTTTTTTTTAATTGGAGAAAACAAGACAAAAAACCCCATGCAAATTCTGATTAAAACTAAAAAAAAAAATCTGCATTTTTCCATGACTAAAATGAAATACTACTGTATATACAGGTATCAGTTGAACGCAATGTTTTATTGATATATTTACAATTTTAAAGTAATTTGGAAGTCTACCAGTGCCTCAGTCACTATAATGAAATAAATTCTAAATACCTATACATTTTGGCATTTGATTTTTGGGTTTTTCCCCCCCACGGAAAAGAAAGTGCTCCCCCTGCCCCCTTATCTCAACAGGATGCAGGTCCAGCTACGGCTGCCTCCTCTCTCCCCCTACCCCCACTGCTTTGTGGCACTGAGCAGCCCCGATATGCTGATGCCCTGCCCATGCCACTGCCCCTCACTCCCCACCCACAGCCCCCTGGACCCTGCCCCTCACTTGCCACCCACAGCCTCCCAGCCCCGCTGGAGGGGGTCCTCAGCTGCCAGGGCTATGGGGTCAGGGACCCGGGTCTGTAGCCCCCTGCCCCTCACAGCAGCAGTTGAGCCTCAGCTGCCACCAGAAGCAGCAGCTGCTGTGGCAGAGTAGCAAGCCCAGCTCCTCCTCTCCCACAAGCTCCAGGGCAGATGCTGGCTGCCCTCTGTGGGCCTGGGCTCCCTGCCCTGCTGCCTCCCCCCCATGGGGGTGGGGCTCCATGGCTCAGCAGACAAGACCCAGCATGACAGAGCAGAGTGGGGGAAACTTGGTGCTGCCGCTGGGAGCATCATGGTGAGATGCCTCCTGCCCACTCAGCAGCAGCAAGGGGCACAACTCTGCATTGCCACACCTGTTGATGCCAGGGCACTGAGCTTCTCTGCCTGGCCCCACTCTACTCTGCCACACTGGGTTTTACCTGCTGGGCCTTGGAGGCCCCCCAAGGGGAGGGCAGCAGGGCAGGGAGCCTGAGCCCACAGAGCGCAGCTGCACCTCCCCCACACACAGATCTAGGGGGCATGTGCCTCCCATGGCCCCCCCCCCAGGAGCGCATGCACAGGTGGAGAGCCAGCCTTCCCCGCCATTGCCCATGGCTCCATCCTGCTCCCCACCCAGGCCCTGCAGCTATGCATTCCAGCCCTGGGCCCCAAGCTCCATCCCAGCTGGGCACCAGCCCCAGCCCTAGCCTTGCCCAGCTTCCTCCCTCCCTATGGGGGCCTCTATTCCCCTCTTCCTTCCCCTGACTTACCTGCAGAGACCAGCTCTCCAGGCTGCCTGGTGGCCATGTGCATGTGTGCACATATGCATGGCACCCCCTGCCTGATGGCATCTTCCCGCTCCCCCCCCAGCCCCTTGTGGGCTCGAACTCTGCCTGCCTGCAACAGAAAACCTGCTGCACGGTTTCCCAAGTTTTCCTCCTTTAAAGTAGAAAATCCAGGTTTCACCACTTGCCTCCACCTCCACCATGGTGAACAGAAAACACAGATCCCTGGTTATGATTAGCTGTACTGAAGGAAGAAAACCACACAGTACAAGCCACTTACGAGGCCAATATGAAAATAGAGATAACCATTTCAAATCGTGAAAATGGCACAAGCCGCTTGTCAGAGCCTACCGATCTGCTTACACTGACCTAAGCATGCTGGCTAGTTTGTGCTGAAACGTTGTGGAAGGGAGAGGGAAATGGAGAGGGATGGGGGGAGTCTGCAGACCCACCATCAGGACTCTGGTACTCCGGCTCCCATATTCTCTAGCCTCTCTTTGCCAAGGAGGGACTAGAGCTGAAGAGCCAATTTTGGGAATCAGCAATGGGGACCTCAGAAGTCAGCCAGGGTCTGGTATGGTGTCAAGGGGGGTAGGGAGAGGGTGGATCTCCAGCAGTGCCCTGGAACCCAGAGTGGGACCTGGTAGTTGAACAGCAGGCAGGCTGTCCAACTACTCTCCCTGATGCCCTGCCAAGGCATAACAAACAAGAGAAACGGTTCAAAACATTACTTCATTTTCAGGGAGGTATTGTTTTGGAGTTTTTCACCACTTTTAGAATATTTCAAGGGGCTCAACCACCAGCTGCCTACACATATATATTTCAAACACCATTTGAAATGTTTTAATTATTACTCATGTCCATACCCTATATAAGGGCTGCATCTCCAGCCATGGCTGAGGAGGAAAGAAAAGGACTTGGCATTAGGGCTTGCAGAATTAGCTGACTGTTGTGCATGTTGGACAGTTTCCTTACTGCCAAATAAGCTCCCTATAAGTTGCTTAGGCTATACTAATGAAGAGATGCATTGCATTTGCCCCTCCAGAATGGTCCAGCACTGCTTAATGAATTACACATACTGTTCCCATACCAAAGCTTTAATAAACCATTTTGATACTAGAGTTATAGAAACTGACCTCTGGCACAAGCCATGGAAGCGACTGCTCAGAAGTCAGGGACCTGGTTAAATTCAGATCTGATCTTCTTCTCAGCCTAAGCCTATTCCAGGACCAGAAAGCAATTCACAACCTAGTTCTCCTGTGGCAACTCCAGACCCACAAAAATCAAGTGGAAAAGGTGCAAGATTATACATACATGAGGGACCAAGTGCTACCCTTCAATATGATTAACCACCATCATTTAAAATCAGTCCCTAACAGGCCAGTTCACAGACTCAGCAGAAGTTGTTTCAATGCCAAAAGTCTATTAGTCTTCAGACTTTTCTCATTTGTTTGCAAAGGGGAATGTGTATGGGGGAGGTGGAAATGACACTTGAATCATTGCAGCCAAAAATAGCACAGTGAGTTTCTCGGTTAACTGTACTTCCACCACTGTTCTCTACTAGGGTAGCTCAACTTCTCCTACCAGCAGGGCACATGGTGATTATTTATTGTTCTGCTTACCTCAAGGTCATTGGGGCTATTACAAGGAAGCCTACACAGCTGTCTCTGGCACTTAAGTTCAGCTGCACACACATTTTTGTTTCTTGTTTACCCAGTTATACAAGTTTGACGTGCATTTTCTAGTCTGAAATGCAACACTAGCATATTTGAGACACAGAAAAAGCACCACAGAAAAAGAATCCTGAGCGCAAGCTGAGATAGCTTCCTTTCCTTTTGGGAATTTTTAATCTTAGAAGAGAATATTCCCAGCAGCATTGCATCTCAGATTTGGTAATAAATTCACCAAAAAAAAAAAATTGTTTAGAGGAGAATTGTGGCTCTTCTACAATGCTTAGTAGTGAACAAATAATGATGAGCTTTTTGTTACAAATACTTAGCTAAAACTAAAAATTTTTCATTTCTATTATCATTTTTCCTAATATGCAGCAATTCTGGAAACATTACACAACCCTCTCAGGACCTCTTCAAATTTATTCTCAGTTTGGCTTTTATTTTTACCTGCACCTACTAGAGTTGTGTTCGAGTGTTTAACAGGAATATGCAATGTTATCTGAAGAGATTATTGCTTCTAAATGCATAGCTTGCAAGAAAGCTGGCACACGGAGGACTGGAATACCTCTAAACAGTGTTCAGTTTCTTTGTTGCAATGCCAGCACCAGCGTGGCCATCAAGATTTTCAGGAAAAAAGTCACTGCAGAAGGCAACTTCTATTACTCAACTAAGCAGGTTTATTAAAATTGTTGTTGGTCTGTTTCTTCCCTAGATACAGGATGTATTGGAACAAAGGCAGTCACAGGCTTTATCACTTTTCCATTCTGCCCGACTGATCTACGTACACTTCAAAGCTATTAAATCATCCTCACTGTGTCTGGTGCATGTCAGCTTCAATCTACACACTGTCTCCTTTAGACTCCTATCAGGGACAGTAAGCCTCAATTGTTAGTTAATTTTCAAGGTAGGTAACTGTATTATGCAAAAGGAAGCTTTTAAAAACTGTTTGTGCCACCCAGGCTGGGGGCAGATATTCAAAAGCCCGAGTCTGAATCAATTCAACCTTTGTAGGTTAGTCTAACCTGGCTAGGCTAAACCAGTTACCAACCATACAGACCATTCCAACCTCTGAACCGAGGAAACGCAGGCACATGCCAGCAGTGGCTCAGGCTGGAAGCCAGGGGATGCTACAGCAGCCCTCCCTTCCCTTTCACAGAGCTAAATTGAAGGGGAGAGGGGTGTGGCCAGGCCCCAGCAGGACTCTGATGTGGGAGGGGTGTAAACCACCCCCCTCCCACCCCCAGCTCGCTGCTTAAGGGGCAGGGGTGTTGCCAGCCTGCAGCTCTGAGGCAAGGGGGGGTGTGCGATGCATGCATCTGTTAATATGAAGCTTTTCACTCTCCCTCCCTGCAGCAAACTGACAGGCAAGCAAGCACGGGG